TATCGAGGATTTGGGCTCATATCGAGGTTCGGGCAGTAAAAGCAGCCAGGCTTCACCTGGAGAGGCAACGGCGAAGCCCGGCCGGCATAAAAAACCAAACGTGGGGTTGAGCGCATCCTCCGAGAGCCACGCCGGGATCAGCATCCCCAGGGCAGAGTGGGATCTGGGGAGAAATCCCAACTTTTCCAACCCCGCAGCGACTTCTCCCTCACTAATCCCCTGCGCCGGCAGAGATGCGGCTTCTCCTGGGGCACCGGCTCCCTCCGGGGCTGGCGAACGCCGGGGGAGGTATTTTTAGGAGTTTCCCAGCTCCTAAAATTTTTAAAATTTTCTCAAATTTTTCGGAGCTTCCCAGAGAAGCCGCCAGCAGTGGGGTCGAGCATCCCAACACCCGCGTCTTACAACCATGAAGGCAGAAGACTGAAAAATCAACACGGTATTTTTGGAGAGGTGGTACCCAATCATGCCCTAATTTTTTTTTTTTAATTTCTTTTTGTTTTTTGTTTTGGTTTCTGTTTGGGGTTTTTTTTATTTCAGGTTGGTTTTTTTTTGTTTTGGGGGATTTTTGTTGGTCTTTTTGGTTATGTGGGTTTTCAATCTTTTTTTTTTTTTTTTTTTTTAAAAAAAACCCCAACATTTTAGGGATGTTTCAGTGTCTCACTGAAAAAAAGCAGCTCTGCTCTTCGGGCGACGCACTCTGTGGCTCCGCGAGCACCCACACTCTTTATGGGCGTCCCCCTAATTGGGGTCCAGGACTGCTCTGCCCCCCCTCTTCCCTCTGGTCCATCCTCTTCCCCACGCTGAGGATTAATGAAGGAGAAGCGATCGCTGGGTTAGAAACAGAAACCCTGGGGCTGCCGAAACCAGGCTCCGGGAAACGGTGCTGGCAAACCCAGCATTAAAAACAATTTTTCTTTTTTTTTTTTCTTATTTTTTTCCTCTTTTTTTTTCCCTCTTTTTTCTCTTTTTTTCCCTATTTTTCTCCATAACCTTTTATTTTTTGAGGATTAATGAAGGAGAAGCGATCGCTGGGTTAGAAACAGAAACCCTGGGGCTGCCGAAACCAGGCTCCGGGAAACGGTGCTGGCAAACCCAGCATTAAAAACAATTTTTCTTTTTTTTTTTTCTTATTTTTTTCCTCTTTTTTTTTCCCTCTTTTTTCTCTTTTTTTCCCTATTTTTCTCCATAACCTTTTATTTTTCCAGAAACCGGCTTTTTTTTTTTTTTT